GTCTCTGACTTTATAAAATAAATTTCCCCCCAAAAGTGCAACTTATATATGTTTTTTTTTCTTCTTCATTACGCATTTTTTGGCTGGTGCGACTTATACTCCGGAGCAACTTATATTCCAGAAAGTAAGGTAGACACTGATGTCTAATTGTTGGAGTAGCGGAATAAACAGTATTTTTCAAGTAAACATTATTTTTCAAGCGTTTCATGACTTTGATTTTATCATTATCAGAGTAACAGCACTTTACTATTTTTCAAACATTCCGCTTTTCTGACATGAATAATATTAATGTGATAGCCTATTATACTTTGCGCTTCCATATATCATAAGATGCTTGGGCCGGTGAAAGATCAGAACAAAGATCAGAGAATACTTTAACCACAGTGGGAAAATGCCCTAACTGATATAATATTTGTCGGAATAGCAATGCTAAAAAGAGTTGGAAAACCGGCACGTTCTGTTTTAGAATATGAATACTTTCAAAGGGTAGACTCACTCCCACTTTCAGTTTGAATCATTATTATCAACTCTTAACCTCGGTCATTTCCTTCTGTGATTAGTTTGTAGACTAAATATAACGATTGGCTTCTGTGATTTAGGCCAAAGTAAATATAAAAAGAGCCAGCCTTTTCAGTGCCTCTTTTAGACGAACGGATCCAAAAGATTCGGATCCATAAAGGAGCTGAAAATCATCCCTGGTAGTCATCTGGAAATCGAGATGTTTTGAAGCCCGTCCGGTAGTAATTTTCATCCGAGGGTGCAAGACTGAGAAGCAAGAATCAAGAAGAAAGAAGCAAAGCGAGCGAAACCTTTTTATTTTTAAATTTTTTGACACTAAAGAGGTTCTTGCTCTGTGTTGATGCTGCTGGTGTTATGACTAGTCCTCACTTTTTCCACATAATACCTGATTAAACTCCAGCTGGCCTGTCAGACTCACTAACAGCACAGACTTCCTGGATTTAAAAGGTAAATGTCACGAGGCACATTTAAGACATGAAATAAAGCGCTAATTGAAGCCCACATGATTTCCTTCCCAGACTCTGGACGCAGCCTTGGCCGTGCCCAGTTTTGCTTTGAGAGTCCTGCTGTGCTTTGAGAGCGCTCGTGTCAGACCAATATTGACTGTGTGCGCAGTTTGACCTTGGGTGCAGAGGTCGCGGGGGTCACGGAGATGAAGCTTCGGGGCTAATGTCTTTGTTACATTCCTCATGTTTCTCCTCGACACATACTTACTCTGTTTAGGGCCTGGAGATGTCTGGTTATGTCAAAAGAGAGGTGGACTAGTTGAAAATAGTGGGTTTTAAATGGGGTCATTACGGGGCTGTTACTCTTGCTGTTGTGCTCTGGGCAGGTTTTCGCTCTGAGTTATTTCCAAAGTTGTATTTGACTTAATGGGATTTTGTACAGCTGCATAGTAAATTACAAAAATAAGCAATCAAAATAGGCTATATAACACCAAAGTATAACACCAAAGCTCTCTGTCTAACATAAATGTACCGTTCCTTTATGAAAATGTGTGTTTTTAGATGAAACATGCACATTTTGTTTATTATTTTCCCACAAAATCAAACTTAAATTGTCTTCTTGAGGAATGCGTAACCACCATGACATCTCGTGCTCTACCATCCAAGTGAATGAGTTCTTTTTTACTTTACCCAGAAGCCTGAAGGTCCATCCATCCATTTTCTTTCGCTTGATCTGAGGCTGGGTCCCAGGGGGCATCACTCTAAGCAGAGATTCCCAGACTTCCCTCACCCCAGACACTTGCACCAGCTGTTTTTGGGTCTTCCCCAGGGCCTCCTTCCGGTGACCGAAACACCTCTCCAGGTCTGGGTCATATGCAGAGGACAAATTTCCCCACGGAAACAATAAAGTGTACTTAACCTGCCTTAACCTTAACCAGAGAGGTGTCCAGGAGGCATTCGGAACAGATGCCTGAGCCACTTCGGCTGCTCTCACGTTGTCTCTAAGGGAGCACCCAGCTAGCCTGATTCATCAGCCAGTTTCACTTTGTGGAAACAGTCTGACCTCGCAGCATTAGGATTCACTCGCTCTGTACTTTTTTATTTAACCATTCACTGCTATTTGGTCATGATTTACGTAATGCGCCGGAACGCTCAGTGGTGTCCAAGTAATTGTCGGCACAACGGCAAACAAAGCAGAGAGTGAAAATCCTCGATCTCGGGAATCGTTGCCAACACAGAATGTATGTCTTCATCTACATCCATCTTGACCGCTTTGTTTACTGTTGTGCTGTACCACAAAAAGGACCCAGACAGATGCTTGAGTTTGACGTCATGGCTTCACAGCTCTTCGCTGATTGGTCAGTGCACGGTCTACAACTTCTGGGGTTCTTGCAAACCGTTTAGTGTATTCTGATTCCTGACCTAGTCGCTGGAGAGAAATGAAATTGAACGTGTGGAGGAAACGCATTTGGACGGCTCATATCCACCATCTTGTCCTTTTGGTCATTCATTACAACAGTCCAATACAGCGACTGCATCACTGCAAACACTGTAGTGATCCACCTGTCGACCCCACGCTCCATCCTTTCCTCTTGTGAACAAGATCCTGAGAAACTTGAACTCCTCCATTTAAGGCAGGGACTCTTCACCCACCTGAAGAGAGTGCCACCTTTTTCTGGACACGGAACATGGCTTCAGATTTGGAGGAGCTGATTTTCGTCCTCCATGATCTACACTTGGCTACATAATACTGTAGGTAGCTGTTGTTGGCGTGCTACCAGTGCACTATTGCTATTTCCTGGTAAGTGGATTACAAAAAACCGTTTATAATTAGATGCAGACAGCACACAGAATCACATTTTGATCATAAGCTGCTTTTACAAAATATCTGTACTGGGGAAAACAAATATTACTTTATTTCATGAAAACACAAAGGGAGTTAGCCAGGCTGGCGCCACCTAGTGCCTCCACTCAAATTCATTTCCCTCCAGGGACTAGATCAGGAATCAGAATACACTAGACGGTTTTGCAAGAACCCCAGGAAGTTGTAGAACTCGCACCGACCAATCAGTGAAGAGCTGTGAAGCCATGGGTCCCTTTTGTGGTACAACAGTAAACAAAACGGTCGAGATGGATGTAGACGAAGACAGACATTCTGTGTTGGGAACGATTCCCGAGATTGAGGATTTAGAGCCGGAACAAAGAGAATGTTTGGTGAATTTTATCAAGGGTAAAGACGTTATTGCCCTTCTTCCTACGAGATTTGGCTCATTACAAACTTCTCAACCAAAAGCAGCGATTGGTTAAATTAAAAAAAGTATCCACCTACCGCCAAGCGCACGAATCCTAATGCTGCGAAAAGACAGTTTCTGCGAAGGGAGAGCGAAGTGAAGATTTGACAACTTTAAAATGAACAAACCGAGCCATCTTCTGAAAATGTTAACAACTATTTATTGTCTTGTTGAAGTAGGTAACAAAATAATCACTATGCATAAAAACAGCATTTCGCTTTGTACAGCTCAAAGACGAGAAAACTAATTGTACAAAAACAATGGCAACACGCGCACACAATGTAAGAAAAAATTTAAAAACAAACTGAAAATCCTCATGTCAGTGTGCAAACCATTATACATACAGACACAAGCCTCACGCAACTCCAAATTCTGATAAATTATTTAAATAGCAACATCTACACTCACTCTCATTCGCACGCACAGCTAACACGAAAGACCAATAACTTACCAGCTAAGACTGCAGAAAGCATTTTGATACGGGGAGGAGGATACAAGCACGCTTTTCTTAGGTCTAAAAAAAAACTATTTACAGCTTAGTAACGCTACTATGTAAAAGTACTTAGTTGTTTTAGTTGGATCAAATTGTACAACGGCATTGAGGTAATATTTGTACATCATTTTTTGTGTTTCTATCTGAAAAAAAAGGCACAATTTTTACACTTTCAAACTAAAAGCCTATTATTTAAAGCATAGGACAGCAGTAGACATCAGGGCTGCAAATATACTGAGAAATTAACATTGAAATATGAACAAAGTAAAATAATAAAACAGTTAAACAGTTAAAAAAAAGTTCTATGAAAATGCATGGTGCGCAGATAAAACGACAGCAGTGGAGCGGGATGTTAGGTATTCGCCCACTAACCAGAAAGTGAGCGGTTTGAATATTGCCCAAGATTTATTATTGTTGTGTCCTTTGGCAAGACAATCACCTTTCCTGTGTATAAATGTGCTGGTAATGAGGATTGAATGAATATTGTAAGAAAACGATGACTAAAACCATCATTATCGTTATTGTAAATTTGTTCCAGATTTTGATAAAAAAAAAAAAAAAAAATCTTCCCAAAATATAATTACAGATTGAAGTTTTTCAGATGTCAGATAAAGTTTTTGTTCCATCGTGCAGCCCCAGTCTGTGTCCTGCTGCTGTACCTGGATACTCTGACCTGTACTGGAGATAACATATTTCTGTAACTGCCTACATTGTAGACAAGAGTCAATAAATTACATGTATTTACACAAATTTTAAATCCTCTCGAGGTGAGGATGTCGACAAATGTTTGAAGGAGGAGCGCTGGCTTTGAGTCAGCTAATCCTACAGTTGTTTTAGATATTACGTTCTTTAGAGAATGATGTTACCTGAGAATGTACAGGCTAACCAAGCAACACACATTTATGTAAGTTTGTACTGTGCAAAAGTCTTAAGTTTGTAAAATAAACACAAACAAACAATGAAAAATGTAACAAAAATACAAAAAAACTTATAAGACTACAAAAATTGTTATTGTAATCGTAGGTAAATATAGTAAATATAAATACATGTTACAGAAATTCCAATTCTTTGCTATACTGAGCTGAACAGAAGTTGAATTTCTCTAACAAAATGCTACGGTCCTCCAGTAAGTTTCTTTTTTTTTTCAATTTAAAGTCTAAAAAAAGGTGTTTGACTTAGAATATCTGAGTTTAAATGTAAGTTCTGAATACAATAAAAAGCTATGTTATTCTTTCTTTGTATATTCTGTCCACAAAAGGATGATGATGGTTTTAAATCCCTTAAATGACTTAACTTTTTTTTTTTCTCAGAATTTAAATTTTCATTCTAAAATTGCACGTCCCTCCTACAAAAACTTTTGCACAGTACTGTATATACAAAATCACTCAATATTTCATCTTCTGGGTAAATGCTTTCAACCACTTTCATGATCCAAACCACGACTTTCATAAGGAAAAAAAAAAAAATCTTGGTGAAGTATTTTTTTGCATCTTCATCCTTAAAAGTTCTCGAATTCTACAATTGAAACGCAGGAATCATTTTTCTCTTTGGAAAAACAGTCTCAACAGTACAGAAGTCACATAGAAAAACAGATTTGAAGTTGAGAAGTGCATAGTTGATGAGGGACCGTCCAACCCGGAGAGGAATGGGTTAAAATGTCCGAGTTGTAGATCTCTTTACCCTAGAGACTAAAAAAGGGGCTAGCAGTTTGGTCCGAACCAGCTCCATTGCCACCCTGTCCTGTCCGAGCGTGCGGGCGCAGGGAACAAATCAAAATAAAACACAACTGCGGCAGAGATGAAAATAGGTCCCTGGACTTTGCATCAGTTCAACAAAAGTTCCAAATTTGTACAAAAGAAGGTGCATTCCTCAGAGCTAACCTGCGCCCGGCGTTTATGCATCTGGTGAAGAGAAAAAAAAAAAGATGGAAAGAATTAGATAGGTGTGGTTTCAACAACATTCAAAACCAAAATGATCACATAGAGAAAATCCAGTCCAGTTATTTTGGCCTGTGTCATCGTCAGCAGAAGCGCAGCCAGACTTGAATGAAAAGTGCTGCAGTACTGTCAGTGAGATGCTGCTTTGTGATGTTGGGCCAAGGACAATAAAAGCCCACTGCAATTTGTCTATCAACTAATATAATCGTTTTTGAGGTTTTATGTAGGGCTGTAACGATATCCAAATCTCATAGTACGATATTTACTGCAATAGTTTAAAGAGGCTGATATAATTGTAGATGATCGGTGTGAATTCAAGTAAAAAACATATTTCTTCATGTTGTCTGCGCTGAAATGAATCATGGGATATGTAGTTCCCGATGTTTATAAGCTGTTGCTACTATAAAACCATGCATTTAAGCAAAGGAACTTGTAATTCGATATATTATGACAGCCCAAAACATTATTGTGAGACTTTTGACGATACGATATGAAGATATTTCGGTTACTGTTGCATCCCTAGTTTTATGGTGTGATCAATGTCACTACGCTACATGAGCAAAGGATCGTGGTCAATGTAGTTCCTTTTGCTTTCTTGTCATAAAACTAGATATTTTGACAGGGTCACTTCAGCTTTAAAAAAAATGAAATGAATTGGGGAACTTAAGATATTGCAACAGTGTTTGCCTTCTATCATTTCAGTGGGACTTTGAGAATCTTGATTGTAGTTTCAAATGTAAGGCTGTAAGGAGGTTTGAGCCTTACCTCTGCACTCATACTTGAGGTCTGAGAAGTAAACCATCTCTTGTGAAAACACGAAGAGTCCTAGTCGACCTCCGGCGTACGTCTTGTCGTAGATACTGCCCGAATCGGCCATGATCTTCTTTCCTTCATACATTACAACTCTGGACATGGAAAATAAAGTTACATTGACATCACAGTCACATTTTTTACAGACAAATATCAGGATATCTGCAGTAAATCAGTCAAACGTTGCCCACCTGATGAGCCCTGTTCTGGGCCTGTGGATCAGGTGCCACCTGTAGGCAGTGAAGTCCTTCCAGCCAACGTTCTTTGGGTCATGCCACAAAGTACGGACCTAAATACAAAAAAAAAAGCAATGCAATCAGTACATTTAAGTGTTTTAATATATTAAGAACATGCACTTTGAGATCAATTAACATGAAAATTGAATTGGCATGTTCCCAACCATCCCCTCTGCTCTCACCTGTCCTGGGGTGTTGCCCGTGTGCCACAGAGCGTTCCTCAGGTGCTCTCCGGGGCCTGTGGTGGAGTTCACCACTTTGATGGACAGACCGGAGTAGCCCTGGGCCTTGGTGGGCTTGTTGGACCAATACGTCTGGGTGATCTGCTTCCACATGACCACGTAGAACCTGGAACTGGACTGGTACCCAAACACGAAGCCAGCGTAGTCGTCATCTCTCTCTGTGTTGATGAAGAATGTCCCGCTGAAGTCCACAGCGTTGAACTCATGATAACCTGGAGAGAGGAGGGAGAACTACTTTAATGTACTGAATGAACTTTGTATGTATGCCACAGAAATTCAATTCAGAGATGATCTGGTTTTAAGACAGTTTTTGCCTAAAATAGCATTACCGTTTTACCATTTTGAACTTCAAAAACACAACTCATTTATTTTAAAGTGTTAAAAGTAGTTGAAAATCTCTCCTCACTTACTTAACACTTGCATCTTGCACCTAAATTCTTCACCATGAGTTTGCTTTTCAAAACTATATATTGAAAAAAACTAATTGAAATTGAAAAAGAACTATGATTTATTTAGTAGAGAACATGGTGCAGGACTTCTTTACTCCCGTCTGAGATCCCCTCAGCTTAGACTGTGCTAAACTAGAGCTTTGTTACAGTCCATAAAAGTTAGATACGAGACGTGAGTAAAGTAAACCTACCGACAGCAATGCCAGGATCACAGTTGACGGTCTGGACCAGCTCCTTGCCCTGGTGCCGGACCACCCAGTTGGGGTCGATCTGAGAGGTGCCTTTGGGGTCCAGAGGAACCATCTGGAACTTTCTGAAGTCCGTCTCACTGATGTCAAAGTTCTCTGGACACACGTCGTAAATGTCCGGCACGTTGTCCTGGTCGAAATCGTCTTTGCAGGCATCTCCACGGCCGTCACCTGGAAGAAGAAATTGGCTGAATGTCTCTCTCCACTCTTCACCTAAAATTCACACTAGTCTCTGTCCTGTCTGATAAAACCGACAGCCAAAAAAGTATTTCAATAGAGTAGAAGTGATACAATAACAACATGAGCTTGTCAAACAATGTGTATTTCTTCTTACCGTCCGAGTCGAGCTGGTCGGGGTTGAAGGCGAGGCGGCAGTTGTCCTTGTCGTCAGGGATACCGTCGTTGTTGTCGTCGTCGTGGTCGCAGGCGTCTCCCTTGCCGTCCTTGTCGTGGTCGGCCTGGTTGGCGTTGGGGATGTACGGGCAGTTGTCGAGATTGTTCTGGTGGCCGTCCTCGTCGATGTCCTGGTTACTGTCGCATTTGTCCCCAACGCGGTCATCGTCAGAGTCCACCTGCGAGAGGACAGCGAGGGAGGACATGAGTAAAAATAAAATAAAGCAGACATTACAACCATCGTGTTTTAGTTTTAGTTTTTCCTCGAGCGATGCAGAAAAGAGGGAACCACTGTCTTTGTGTGAATGTTCATGTATGTTAGTTTCACTCTAGCACTATAAATGCAACAAGATACAACTTTATCTGCAGGGTTATAAAGGAGGTCCAACAATAATAACTGCTCATGTATCCTGATTGATTGATTTACTGTTAAAACTGCACTGTCTGTTTAAATTGCAGATTGTTTAAATTAAATGAAACAGAAAACTCACACCCAAGTTTTTGTAGAGGTGCAAATGCAAGGAACAGCAAAATAAAACAGTAAAAATACTCAGATGGCTGATGTCCAAAAGCAAGAAAATTGATCTGACGAAGGCTTTTTTTTGCAGAAACGTTATTACCTCCGCCAAGGAGGTTATGTTTTTGCCGGCGTTTGTCTGTTTGTTTGTTTGTTTGTCTGTTAGCAACATAACTCAAAAAGTTATGGACCGATTTTGATGAAATTTTCAGGATTTGTTGGAAATGTGAAAAGGAAGAACTGATTTCATTTTGGGGGTGATCCGGAAGAAATCCTGGATTCTGGATCACTTTGAAATTTTAGTTAACATTGTGGTAAATGGGGCCAAAAATTTTGTTTCTCAATATCTCGGTTAATTATTGACCAAACCCCATGAAATTTGACTCAGGGATGGACAATGGGATCCTCTTTCATATTCCAAAGGCTGATCCAGATCTGATCCAGAAGACTGATTTTATCGCAATTTATACTAGAAAAGCACTCAGAGAGCGCAGACCTCCGCCAAGGACTACCCCCATTTTTTATATAAATTGCGATAAAATCAGTCTTCTGGATCAGATCCTGAGTTATGTTGCTAACAGACAAACAAACAAACAAACAAAAAATAAACAAACAAACAGACAAACGCCGGCAAAAACATAACCTCCTTGGCGGAGGTAAAAAAAAGCTTTTGGACATTGGCCATCTGAGTGTGCAATGCATTTTTTCACTTTTAGATTGTTTCAATTGACTATAACTTAAAGGTCCTATATTACACAAAATTGACTCTTGTGAGAGTTAAATCACAGTAGAATGTTTGTTACTTCCTCAAAAACATACCTGGATGATTGAGGAATCCTTTATTATTAGTCTGTCTATATCTCCAAAGCTCAAAGTCTCTGTTCCCACTTTGCGATGTCATATAGTGGTAGTTTTCAAGCTACAGCTACTTTTTACATTTTGTTTGGTAGATGTCGGCAATTCCAGGACTGAAATTATCCACATGATTCTAGTGTAGGTGTACAGAGCTGGAACACTTGGAACACAGTATTTCCCGTTTGAGAGAAGAACTCAGCCTAAATATGCAGGGTTTGTACGTTAAACATGTGTGAATGAAACAAAACACAACTCCAGGTGTGTTTGTGATGAGAAAACAACATTATAACAGATCAGAAAATAGTAATATGGGCCTTTTAAAGCAACAGTATTAGGGATGTAACGATATCCAAATCTCTCAGTATGATATTATCACGATATGCATCTCACCGTACAATATTTATTGCGATATTTTGGAGAGGCTGATATAATTGTAGAAAGGACACTCTTTTGCTTTTAACATACCTAGGCAAGATTTTGGTGTGAATTATCTCTGTCATAATCCCAAAAATTTAAGTAAAAAACATATTTCTTCATGTTGTTTGCACTGAAATGAATCATGGGATATGTAGTTCCCGATGTTTATAAGCTGTTACGACTATAAAACCATGCATTTAAGCAAAGGAACTTGTAATTCGATAATTATTGTGAGACTTTTGAAGATGCGATATCACGATATTTTGGTTATTGTTACATCTCTAAACCAGACTCCTCGCCGTTCATTTAGCTATAATATTCCACAGTATGGCCTAAAAATGTGTCAAACGTGATCCATACTTTTTCTAAGATCAACGTTACCTCCTTATCTCTAGTTTTTTTAGCTCTTAAATTCAATCCTGTGTTTTAAAGGCCACGAGTCGGCATTCCCTCACCCCAGCCCACCTCTCCCTCTTGTTCCTCACATTCCTCTGCCCCACTGTAGCATGGCACAGGTGGACTGAGCCAACCTTGTGCGCTGTGCTAATATACCCACAGCTAACCTCAAAGGCCCATTGAAAAGGCCCCTCGCCCCCCCACCACGCCCTATTGAGCCCATCTGCCCCGCGGCTCTTCGCATGGCGTGAGGGAGCTAACAGAGAGGAGTACGCAGGGCCATACAGAGCGCTGAATGGGGGATTACGGCGGCGGGTTTGCCTGGGTCCACACCTGATCAGGATTATGCTCCAGAGGGCAGTTGTCGCACATGTCCCCGACGCCGTCCAAGTCCGTGTCGCGCTGGTCCACGTTGTACACGTAAGGGCAGTTGTCTTTCTCGTTCAAGATTCCTGTGGACAAAAGCGAAATGATCTGGTTAGAATATAATAACAGAAACTAAAGAAATGGCTCAAATGTTTTCGAGGAATGATCATTAGTAGCGTAGGCCAAGTACTTTTTAAAGATTTTAGTGAAAGTACAAAAATAAACCGCCTATGTTGGTTTGAGTTATGTTAAAATTGATGATGTTAAAATTTTGATTGGCCGAGGACAGAGCCAATGATACAAATGTAGTTGGGTCTGGAGAGTAAAATCTGACTGAAAACTCAATATGAGGCCAGTAAATTTGTTTACATTTGTATTTTTTTGTTTTGTTTTTGAGCTGCTTTCACACTGGAAATGTTGTAGAGAATTAATTTTCAAAGTCTAAATAATAATAATAATAATAATAACAACAACAAAAATCTAATAAAAAAAAATCCTGTTCCCTCAGAATTGTAAAGTTCTGTCTGATGTTTTTTGTGCTTCATATGTTCTTTCTCCTGGATTCCCTTCTGTACACTTTTATTAAGATTTTGTACGATTTGGTAAATGTTTCAAGTTTATATAAGGAAAAACCCATTTTTCCATTCCATTCTGCTCTATGAGTTGGGGTGTGCAAACATATTGAAATGTCGACATATCGTATCGTCTAATGTGATGGTACAGTATTGATATCGTGGGCTGCTGTATCGATATATCGCCAAGAGTATTTTTTGGTATATTTTACTAAATGATTTTGTTACAGAGCTACAGTTTTGTTGCTTATTTAGAGGAAGGAACTACAAAGGGTCTGGAGAGTAAAATCAGACAGAAAAAATGGCTTGGGCAGTGATGCTATGAGGCCAGTAAATTTGGTTTCAGTAACTGAGGAATTCTATAACTTTTTTCCCTGTGCAAGGCCAGCCTGACTGACCTAAATGCAAACTGTTCTTGGGGAAGGGCTTGGACCTCAGAAAGTCTTTACATGTTGTTACCCCACTGCTCTTGGCTCACTGCTGGCAGAAACTCTGTCTGTCAGTAGTGAGACAGTTTGTTACCGGTGCAAACGAAATAAACCAACCTAGACAGTCTTCTTGTATGTTTTGGTATTATTTTACTAATTAAAAAAATGATGTTTAATGTGATGATACAGTATCGATATCGTGAGCTGCTGTATTGATTTATCGCCAAGAGTATTTTTAGGTATATTTTACTAAATTATTTTGTTACAGAGCTACAGTTTTGTTGCTTGTTTAGTGGAAGGAAACTTATTTATGCAACACACTTGGCCTATTCACTGTTTTCAGGATTAAAATGTTTGTGTTTCTTATTAACTTTGCCCAAGAAGTGGTTTAACAAAGACTTTTAGTATCACAGCCATGATTTAGCCACTAGTTTTTTATTGAACTGTATCAAATCGATTTTAAATATATCGTATCGAATGTATCGAGGTATGTATCGTATCACCAACTTCTTAATGATACCCAGCCCTATCTATGAGTGGTCAAATTGTCAAACCGCAGTATCTCAGAGCTACCCAGGATGCGGATATAAACTTTAAAATGTCTTATGTTTTGTGATGTTTTGTGTGTGATTTGAGTTCCTCCTCACCGTCTCCATCGATGTCCACCGCACACGGCGTCTCCCTCTCCGTTGTTGTCTGTGTCCGTCTGGTCGGGGTTACTGTTGTAGGGGCAGTTATCGCAGCGGTCTCCCACATCGTCTCTGTCGTAGTCGTACTGCCGCGGGTTGTAGATGAACGGGCAGTTGTCCTGTAGCACACATTTTTTATGAGGTTTAAGACAAATACCCTTTCAAAATGATCACTTTTCAGATTTCTCTCACTCACCCTGTCATCCGGAATGCCATCGTTGTCATCATCGTCATCACAAGCATCTCCAATTCCGTCTTTATCGTAGTCCTCTTGTCCGGAGTTGGGAAGGTTGGGGCAGTTATCCTAAAACAAACGTCACACACCATAAATAATGTGTGTGTGTGTGTTATAGTGTGTAATAGTCACTAAAATCCACAACAAATGCACATACACTGTACGCATAGCTACCCTAAATATTCCCAAGACTTTACGGCTACACTAACATCGAACCACAGCAACTGTACATAGCACCAGTTGTTATGGTGCGTTCTCTTGTGCTCGGGGAAAACCGACCTCCACCTCGAGAAAGGGCAATGGTACGGCCAAGCGAATGGGGGTTTCGAAACACAAACTCGGACTGGTTCAGATCAAGTCAGTTGAGTTTACGTCCCAGCAAAAATGTAAACGGGGAGAACTGTCTTTGCGTCATTTTGATATATTAAGTTGCGTATGTGTAGAGAACTTATCTTCTAAAAACTTTGTAGTAACACTTACACTTTCTTTCACATCATTTGACAGTAGACACAAGTTTTTTCTGAACATGTAATATTCAAACGCCAATAATTGAGTCGCCGACAGTAGGCTAACAGACTGCATTCATTACTCAGGGTTCAGTCAGAGGGTTGAGTTCTGTGAGATTCAGACGTAGCCCTAGTGAGTTTATATGGAGTCGGTCCCAAAATGTGGTTCTACATACTGTATTTGGGATTCATAAGCTAACAAAATAAACATTAAACTTTCTCAGGCATCCATATTTTCCCTGACTGTTGCATTGGAACGCATTTACAACGAATGTCGGAAGAACTGACTCGGATTTATCGACTACCGACACTCAATAAAATGCGGCATTAAACCAGGGGGTGAGCTATTATTTTTCCCAGCAGAGTCCTGGACCAACATGATCATTGGGGACTCCTGAGCAAATATCTGTAAAATGTAGACTACTATAAACTTTCACTATGGTATAATAACATAAAAAACCTAGAGGAAGCTGGATTAATGCTGCAAAATGCCCAGGTTTGAGTTAAACTTTACTAAAATCTTGAGAGTCTTGAGTCTTGAGAGCAACTGCTTCAGCTTATACATTTGCACATTTACAACTATCCTGCTTTTCCCTCCCGTGCGCAGACTCCGCCCGTACCTTCTTGCAGTGGTAGGTGGCGTTCTCCACACACACCAGGTCAGCGTTGGGCCACCCGTCCAGATCCGTGTCCTCTCCACAGATGTGCCCATTACCAGCGTACCCGGGCTTACACTCACAGCGGTACATGGGCTCGGCGAAGTGCCCCAGGTAGTTACAGCGAGCGTTCTTGTTACAGTCGTGGCTCCCGTCCAGACACGGGTTCCGAGGAGTGCAGACCTATGGGTGAAGGAGTGATATACTCGTTAATAAAACTGACCAAGTATAGGGTTATAACAGCATGATGCCTAGGAATGGTCAGAGGTGGGTAGAGGAGCCAAAAACCTCAGTCAAGTAAGAGTAACGTTACTTCAGAGTCATATTACTCAAGTACGAAACAATACATAAAGCTCAAACTGTAGTATTTTCAAAGGACAGACAACAAAAGTTTTGATAAAAGATAAAATTATATCTGAGCGAGTGGTGCAAAAATCCCAAATGTTCAAATCATTCAACATTGGCCACGTTTACATGATGTTTTTTTAATTCCGAATGTACTTGTATACTTCAAAAATTTAAAATATTCTCCATCGAGTTTACATGAAAATAATAATTCTGAATTGAGGTTTACATGGAAAACACGTTAAATCGTCTTTATTTAATTTTGCTCAACGTTTGGGGATGGGGAAGGGTTCTGATTGGACAGGGACACAAACGTGTTTACGTCGACTGAAAGAAAACACACTTCAGCTGCTACAGGCTTTTTTGTCATCTCCGTTTGTTGTTACGCCACGGACACAAACATGATCCAAACTTTTTCCATAGTCGTTCCGATGATAATTAAGCAGCAGCTTGAGAATTCTTTTCACCCTAATCACGCTTTACGTCTGTCAGCTGAGGAGGAGAAGGGAGGAAGACGACAAACTGATTTAACGGCTGCTCTACCTCAGCCCACTCCCGCATCCCGTTCGCAAATCCAAAGAGCAGTGGATGAAAGTCCGAAGTGACGACTGGTGGAGCCGAATCATCTGGATTGAGTCAGAAGGGCGAACCAACGGGCATGCGCTGAATGACCGGAATTATTTTAAGAAGAATAAACATTTACATGATCACAGAATAAATTAATTCAGCTTTAAAATCGGAATGAATCACCCTATTACTTCGGAATTCAGTTTAGTTCCGAATAATCATTTTGTGTTTTTGTGCTTACATGGTCTTTTTAAAGCAGAATTCATTTTTATTCAGAATTAAAGCTCTCATGTAAACGTGGGAAATGTCGACATAAAGTCAGAGCAACCAAAAGTTTTACTCAAGTAAGTGAAGCCCTACTATTACTTCAAACTAAATATTACTGAAGTAGGAGTAAAAAATTGACAGTGAGAATTACAACCTTTGATAATTATAATAGTTTCATGATATTTTGAAATGAATTGAGAAATTGAAAAACGCTAAATTGTGTTCAAAGAGCCGGCAAATAACAACTGCTAAGACTCTTATAATTACCCCATACTGTAATTATACACGATTATAATGATTATGACAATTTGTGATGGCTAGACAATAGATTAAATATAGATCCGCATTTGCAGCTCGTGCGTCAAGTTCCTGAGATATCTGTAAAAATTACACATCGGGATTAATGGCTTTGAACTGGAAGCAGGTGAAGCGCTACACCGTCTCCTATTTCATCACACGCACAAAGCCCAAAGCAAAACTAAACAAACGTAACAAATAACTATAGCTGTATCGCAACTCACCCGTATCCATAGGCAACCATTATCTCCCCAATCACTGTTTACGCCGCTTACACAAATCCCGTCGCCTTTGTAGTGATCTAAAGGTTAGCTTTACGTGCGCAGGGCTGTAGTCACCTGTTTGTTAGCGGCGGCATACTCCACGCCTTTGCCAAACGGCTGGGGTCCGGAGTAGCGGGGAGGGCAGGGCAGGCAGTTGTAGCCGGGCTCGGTGTTCTCGCAGCGGTGCACGCCGTTGAACTCGAAGCAGGCGTCTGGAACTTCTTTACACTGGTTATATGAGAGAAATAACACATGTTAAGAAACGGAAAGGGAGGTAAAGTATGTAAGATTTTTGCTGCCACTATGGGCTTGAGGAAGGGTTTAACTAAAACGCATGAGATAAAAAAAAAAAAATACAAGATTGGTTTGAATGAAGCTGGAAAGCGAATTGCTCCAGGGAGACTGTATTACCAAAAACTAACCTTCAATCGCAGCCACTTCACAGCTACTTCTGTCTAGTAAACAATAACCAGGGCTCCAGCCAACTATTATTTTAGTTGTCGACTATTTGTCTATTGTTTTTGAATAGGTCACATTTGTTTAGGCCATGGTTTTAATAGAAAACCTGGTTAAGGACCTGATTTAAGTCCTGGTTTAGTCCTGGTTAGTAACCACCTGGTTTGGATTAGTCCTGGTTTAGTCCTGGTTTAGTCCTGGTTTTAGACCTGGTTTTAGTCCTGGTTTAGTCCTGGTTTTAGACCCCTGGTTTAGAGTCCTGGTTTAGACCTGGTTTAGAGTCCTGGTTTAGTCCTGGTTTAGTCCTGGTTTAGAGTCCTGGTTTAGACCTGGTTTAGAGAGTCCTGGTTTAGTCCTGGTTTAGTCCTGGTTTAGTCCCCTGGTTTAGACCTGGTTTAGTCCTGGTTTAGTCCTGGTTTAGACCTGGTTTAGTCCTGGTTTAGACCTGGTTTAGTCCTGGTTTAGGGTTTAGACCTGGTTTAGTCCTGGTTTAGTCCTTTTAGGCCTGGTTTAGACCTGGTTTAGTAGGTCCTGGTTTAGTGGTTTTAGTCCTGGTTTAGGCCTGGTTTAGTCCTGGCGCTGTCTTTACCTACTCTACAGCTCACATTCACCCAATCTGAAAACCCGTAAGATAGAAAATACTTACAATTATATTATTCAAAAACAACAGAGACACTGAGCTGCTGGTGTCCATGTAGGTGCTCATAAAAAGCCTTTGTGGCATGTCTGTCCAGATAATGAAGGTCAAAATATTACGATAAAGCCGTCTGATTAAACTAAACTAACTAAAATACCTTATATAGTGCTAAGGACGACATAATCCACAAATTCACTGACACGAAATGAATAAAGTGATAGTAAAATAGTTGAAAAATATAATAGTAATAGCTACATTACCTCATCAATATCTTTACATTTGATGCCATTCCCAGTGTAGCCAGCGGGGCATTTTCCACATTTCCAGGTTCCATCGGGGAAGCTGGTGCACTTGGCTCCAGCGAAGCAAGGGTTGGACAGACAGCCATCTGAAATATAGATTAAGGTTAATTAATTATCCAGTGTAGACTAAAGATGGACTTGGAGAAGCACGATTTTGTTGGTAAAAATGTGAAAAAGTCTCACCGATCGGGCAGGCTTTCTTGTTGCACATCTGAGTGTCCTTGGCCTCTCCCACACACTCTTTTCCTCCGTGTTTGGGCGGTGGGTTGTTGCACAGGCGTTTCCGGGTCTGGACTCCGCCCCCACAGGTGAGTGAGCAGGTATCCCACGGCGACCAGGGCCCCCAGCCTCCATTGACTGATAACACAAGATAAAAGTTAAAGGAGACACATTATAATCAACCTTTTTAACATGTTATAACACCAAAATCCCTCAAAGTTATTGCTGTAGATTGATTCTTGCAAGTTTCAGATTCAGTCTTGAGCGCTCAGAAAATGTTATGTTACCCCCTACCCCCTATCTCCGCCCACTGTTCTGTATTTACAAACAGTATATGTCTTCTCGTCTCTGCATTTGACCCATTCTCCAAAATATTCCTTATAAACTTGTACTCACTGGGGCATGGAGACTTCTGGCACTTCTCGGTCTGGCGGCCCTCTCCGACGCACTCTTTGCCCCCTAGCTGTGGAGTGGGGGAATTGCAGAGGCGAATGCGAGTGATGACGCCCGCCCCGCATGTGACCGAGCAGGAGGACCAGGGCGACCAGTGGCTCCAGCTGCCGTCCTGTTTGACTGTAACATACAAAATGTGTCATGTATGAAAGTTTTGTCATAAAAACATCCAATAAGAACCAATCACTTCTGGGGGACCAAGTCTTTGTTTTGCAAGTCTCAAGTAAGTCTCAAGTCTTTGACCTCAAGTCCAAATCAAGTCCCAAGTCAAATACAGGCAAGTCCAAGTCGAGTCTCGAGTCACTGGTCCATAAATTCAAGTTAAGTCCAGGTCGTCTGATTTGAGCTTCAAGTCATTTCAAGTCTTTACATCAAAGTACCAAATATAGCTTAGATTTTTGCAATTTATATGTATTTTAAGATAAATTGTACTTTAAAAAATCATAATATATTTATATATGAGTTTTTATAGAGTAAATAAGAGTTGTAGAAATTAGTTTAGTTAATGTTTCCTTTTTAAATGTCTTGACAATATCTTAGTGTGAATCATTACGGTCAGAATAGAAGGAATTCAGATTTAAAAGTGCTTCTCAAGTCACAAGGCTCACGTCCGAGTCAAGTCCCAAGTCATTGACCTTCAAGTCCAAGTCGAGTCCCAAGTCTTAGTCCAGTTCATCAAGTCAAGCCTCAAGTCCTAAAAATAGTGACTCAAGTCTGACTCAAGTCAAGTCACAATTTGCAGGTCCCCACCTCTGTTATCTCCCTTAAACTTCAAGTACCTCAACCTCCCCCCAAATCCCCCGCAGCAGTAAAACCATCACCCTCCCCAGTCCTTTCCATCTCTTCTTCAAAAGTAGCAGGTAGATACAACATTTCCCTTCTCTTTTCTGGTTGAACTGGGAGTACATGTCTTATTGACTTAGATTATTAACGTACATTGTTTTATAATATATCTTGTGATTATGGATCTATTTACAAACTTTCATATAATGCATAGTTATGTATATATTAAGCCTGTAAGTGTAAACCTACATCTCTTGTCACACTCCTGCAGGTAACAGTCTCTGGTCTGGACAGAGGTGCCCTCACAGTTGTTATTGATACGATCGCAGGACCGCCCCCTCTGCTGGATGCCCCGCCCACAGGACACCGAACAATGCGTCCATTCAGACCACGGAGACCAGCCGTCCTCTGCATAGTCACTCGCTGAGTAAGAGAGACAAGGAGAGAGAGAAAAAGGAACGTTCATTAACACATAAGGCTAATGGTCTGGACTTAACTGTGAAAAAAATGCCATTATTGATAAAATCAGTGGTAGTACAAGGCATACCAGGACAAAAAAAAATGTCAAAACTGGGATTAAATTGGACAATAGTCAATAGTCTAGTCTAGTAAAGATGATCTAAAATAGTATGATTAAAACTGAGGCATAGAGAACTAAACAAGGACCAAGAGGTGTTAGATATGGACTAAAGCCAGGACTAAACAGGAAATAAAAGAGATGAGAACAGTTTTCTGGACCAGAAGAAGCCTATGATTCAGCAGTGGGCCTGTACCTGCCTGTTTAAGCATTACTGATGCTTCACGACATCCTATTTTTCATCAAAAACACAAAAGGTTTCCATTTCTTGTGTCCATTTTACATCCTGCTCTATATGAGTCCTAAAACCTCTTCCACCAGAACAGACTTTTTCAATCCTAGTTTGGTTGTTTTCTGCCAACAAAAGTTTACAAATTTGAGTTACTCCCTAGTTCAGACTGGTTTTAGGTTTAGATTTAGAATTGCATCTTTCTCATTTCATAATAATAAAAGCATCAGGAAATCAAGGCATGGTTAATTCTGGATTTAGTTTTGTGTTTTGCTCGAATTGCTGGGTTTCAGATTACATCAAATTCAACTTTCGACTGGACAAATACAAATAAAGGACAGTTCAAATGTCATTTTATTTTAATGTTAATACAGTAAGCACTTGGATCTAGTCATCTTTATCTCAATTTTATCAAGTTTAACTGCAAAGTACAATGTTATCAATAATAAAATCAAGCCTTTTGCACCTAATCTGAAAGTATGATATCATCACATAGTATCTAGTATCTGAAAACCACCTGTAGTCCCACTGGTTTGGATGACAGCTCTTAAATCTCGAGAATGACGTTGATTTCGCTGTGCAGCCGTAGACAGACACTGCACTATACTGAAGTGAGGAATAGTAGCGCCACTGTCCCTCTGAACCAATGAACAGCACAATGAATGAATGAAGTTTGCTTTAGCAGGAAACAGCTTGTGAAAACATGACCCTGGGTGTATAAGGACCCAGTTTCAGTGCTATTCCTCACTGATGTTGGTTTTAAGTGGGGAAAACTTTGTCAGAGACTTTAAAGGTATGAGAAATATGTCATTGTGTCATTATGTCTTATAGTGCGCATTAAACAGTGAGGCAATTTTCCATCTTACAATTTTGGTCAATTAGGTTCAATTTAGTTTTAAGATGTTTGGCGAACAAAGGTGCAGTGTTTCAGAGCTAGAGGTACTTTAAACTTAAAGTACATAAAAATAATATTTGCTTTGCGTTTAGTTTTATGTCAGAAAAAAATTTAAATTATGTATTTTCCATCTTTTAAGAATAAATCAAGTTTGAGTGTATTGAAGTAAAAGTAATGTAACAGAAGCCTACAGTTCAGGTTTAGGTTGTAAAATTGGGGAAAAAAAAGTGCATGCAGTCCTTGGTTAGACCTGGTTTAGACTGGGTTTAGACCTGGTTTAGTCTTTTGTTAACTGGTTCTACGTTAGACCTGATTTAGACCTGGTTTAGTCTGATTAATTGGTTCTATGTTAGACCTGGTTTAGACCTGAATAGTCTTTGATTATTTGGTTCTTAGTTGGACCTGGTTTAGACCTAGTTTAGACTTAGTGTAGACCTGATTTAGACCTGGTTTAGTCCTGGTTAAGTCTTTAGCTTCTTGGTTCTAGATTAGGCCTGGTGTAGACCTGGTTTAGTCCTGGTTAAGTCTTTAGCTTCTTGGTTCTAGATTAGGCCTGGTGTAGACCTGGTTTAGTCCTGGTTAAGTCTTTAACTTCTTGGTTCTATGTTCGACTTGGTTTAGACCTTTTCTTTGATTAACTGGTTCTATGTTAGACCTGGTTTAGTCTTTGATTATTTGGTTCTTATTTGGACCTGGTTTAGATCTGGTTTAGTCCTGATTAAGTCTTTAGCTTCTTGGTTCTATGTTAGACCTGGTTTAGACCTGGTTCAGACCTGGTCTTTGGTTAACTGGTTCTATGTTAGACCTGGTTTAGTCTTTGATTATTTGGTTCTTATTTGGACCTGATTTAGACCTGGTTTTGACCTGGTTGAGATCTGGTTAAGTCTTTAGCTTTTTGGTTCTATGTTAGACCTGATTTAGATCTGGTCTGGTCCTTGGTCTGCCCTCAGTCAGGCCTGGTTTGAGTATTTTAATTATTTTTGTAATACTTAATATAGTAAATAATCCCACAATGGTTCATTATAATTCTGTAGAACAAAGTGTATTTTTAGTTGCAGAGAGGACTTACGTGTGCCGCAGCGAGGGCAGCACTCTCCATCAGGAACTGTTGCGTTTGCACACGGGATCAGGGGGCAGGAGATCTTACGACACACAGTAGCCGAATTCTGCAACAGATAAAGAAGGATTAACATAAACAGGGCATTAACGAAACCCAATAGTCTATGGAATTACTGCAATGTTTACAGCCTGGTTTGTCATGAAATGGTTAAGGTTGTATCAAAGTTTGGTTAGACCCGGTTTAGTTCTAACTGTATTATTTCTAGATTGGCACTGTTGACCGTTCCCACTGTAATGTTTTTTTTCCATTGGATGCCCTCCCAGTGACTACTGTTGGCAATGCCGGGTACATGTCTCACATAAGCACAATGTTTTGAAACAGTAGTTGCTTGGATGAGGTTTGAACCAGCTACTTTATGACTGCTAGGCACGTCACACTAAACCCCCTAAGCCACTGCTTATGTAAAATGTACGTGAGTAAAGTATGGATACCTGAAAATTGTACTACTTTTTTCCAATATTGCATACTTGTACAGATTTATATAATTATGCCTTATTTAACACCAGTATCTTGTTATTTTTGCTACTTATTTTGAATGTATTATTATCATTTATGTTTTTGCTCTTTGTTAGTATAATATATTGTGATGTGTGAGCTACTGTGTCCAAATAATTTCCTTTTTGGATCAATAAAGCTTGTCTAAATTAAAGTCCAAAGCATTGTTTGACAAAGACTAGGTCGCGATCCTTAGGTGGGTGGCAAGAGATTTTTTTTGGGTCGCCTAGTCACAATCTACATGTAGGTCTGCAATATACATATACATACATCTCTGTGCGCAGAATCTCTGCTCAATGTGAAGGAAACACTGATTACTGTTTTTCCTTGTTTAAAAAAAAAGTGCCGTATTTTTCAGCGTACTTAAAATCCCTTAATTTTCCGAAAAATCGACAGTGCGCCTTACTATCTTACCTATTAGTTCTGGTTGTGCTTACTGACCTCAAACCGATTTTCATACATATTCCACTGAGTCGTGTTCTTTAGTCCGACAGAAACTTTTTAAAATCACTTATAGTTTATGCAAATGAGCCATGTGGTTTTAAGTTTCGTTTCTGTAAAATGTATAGCAATTTGCGCAAAGCTGCATTGTACACATTATTACTCAATGTATATTTGAGTGCTCCTCATAGGAAATAAAAAAGTCTTAAGTCTCAATTGTCATCTGGTTGTTTCACTTAATGTGCCTTATAATCCGTTGCGCTTTATGTATAAGAATAGACGAGAGAATTTGACATTATTGATATTGCACTTTATAATCTGGTGTGCCTTATAGTTCGAAAAATACGGTAATAAATTGTTCAGAGAGACATGATCACTCTGTCAGCAATAAAATATTCTCATTAATGTTCAATAATGGTCACAAGTTTATTTTGTTATTTACAAATAATGTCTATTGACTTGGGTCTTGAAGGTTTGTGACTTTTAAAATATGGGTCCCCAGAAAAAAAGTTTGGGAAACACTGATCTAAAGGGTCAAAGACAGCTCCATTGCTAGAATTTTACTTTTAATTAGATTTTTTAAAGTTCAGTTACCCCAAAAATCTACCCAGTTACAGTAACATGAGTATTTGTAATTAGTTACTACCCCCCCTTGCTAATCTCCAGCATCTATGTCCCCTCATGTCCATCTTTTTCCATGTACGTGCGACCATCTCATCACACCTCCTCTCCCCACATGCCAGGAGCCGAACAGAGCCAGAAAAGCGGTCGGTGGAGCCCTCTTCCAAACAACCACCTGCTTTGAGTCCACTTAGCCAGGAATGAGGCCGGCATAAAGGGCTTTAGTGTGGGGCTGCACTGGCTCATGTTGCCTCCTCAACCTGTGTGGTTCTCTGCTGCGGATAACAAGTGCCTCTAAGTATGCAAAACCTCCCGGATCTGATCGCCAACGGAAAACACGGAAACAGGAGTAGTTTGTGCGTCCTGAATGAAGAGTACATCTGGATAGTAAGCCCTCAGGAAAGCTCAGGGAGATCCTTAGCCAAATATCTGTGCTTGAGCTATCCGCCCTTCCACTTTGTACACAGAGGAGGAGACTAATGAGCCCATCTGTCTCGTGTCTGTGCTCTACGTGCTCATTACGGCGCAAATTATGGTGTTAAAGACGCCCAGAAAAGGTGTGCAGGAGTGTGTCTGTAGCTAAAGATATATTGTCTGGTTACTGTCCACTGTCTGTGTTGTTGTGGTGGTTGCGATGGTTGTGGTTATGGTTATGGTGGTGGTTGTTTGGATAGTTGTAATGGTGTTTCTGGTGGTTATAATTGTAAATTTGGTTGTAGTTATGGTTTGGTTATGGTTGTAGGTATTACTGTGGTGGTGGTTGTAGCTATGGTTGTAGTTATGTTATGTAGTTAAAAAAAAACGATGGTGGTTATGGTTGTTGTGGTGGTTGTTGGGAGAGTTGTAATGGTGTTTTTGCTGCTGGTTGTGGTTACGGTGGTGGTTATGATTGTGAATATGGTTGTAGTTATGGTTATGGTTGTAGGTATTACACTGTAGGTGGTTATGGTGATTCCAGACCCACTCGTAAAGCTTTGTCAAAGTGTGTGGTTTTGGCTGGCCAGATAAGGTGGTTGTAGTTATGGTGGTAGTTGTAGTTAAGGCTGTAGTTATGTTATGTACTTAAAAGTTACGATGGTGGTTATGGTTGTTGTGATGGTTGTTCTGATAGTTGTAATGGTGTTTCTGGTGTGATTATGGTGGTGGATGTAGTTATGGTTGTGGTTATTGCACTAGTTAAAGTTATGATGGTGGTTATGGTTGTTGTGGTGGTTGTTGGGATAGTTGTAATAGAGTTCCTGGTGGTGGTTGTAGTGGTTTTGATTGTAAATATGGTTGTAGTTATGGTTGTAGGTATTACTGTGGTGGTGGTTATGGTGGTGGTTCCAGACCCATTCGTAAAGCTTTGTCAATGTGTGTGGTTTTGGCTGGCCAGGTAAGGTGGGTGTAGTTATGGTGGTGGTTGTAGTTACGGTTGTAGTTATGTTATGTAGTTAAAAGTTACAATGGTGGTTATGGTTATTGTGGTAATAATTGTAAATACGGTTGTATTTACAATTATTATTATTAGTGTGGTTATGGCTGTAGGTATTACTGTGGTGGTGGTTGTGGTTACAGTACATGGATACAGTTCCAGACCCACTTGTAAAGTTTTGTCAGAGTGTGTGGTTTTGACTGGTTGTGATAATGGTGGTGGTTGTAGTTATGACAGTGTGATTGTGGTTATGGTCGTAGTAAAGATTGTAGTTATGTTTGCACTTATGGCTGTGGTAAATGTGTTTATGGCTGTTGTTGTGGTGGTTACGATGGTGGTTGTTGTCATTATGGTTATGGTGGTAGTCATGGTGGTTGTAGTTATGGTTGTAGTTATGGTGGTAGTAGTTGTAGTTAGGGTTGTGTCTATGGTTACGATGGTTGCTGTGTTTATGGCAGTTGTTGTGGTGCTTATGGTTATGATGGTGGTTGTTGTTATTATGGTTATGGTGGTAGTTGTGGTGATTGTAGTTATGGTTATGTCAGCTGTAGTTATTGTTGTAGTTAGAGTGGTGTTTATGGTTACGATGGTGGTTGCTGTCATGGTTATGATTGTAGTTATAATTGTAGTTATGGTGGTAGTCATGGTGGTTGTAGTTATGGTTGTAGTTATGGTGGTAGTCATGGTGGTTGTAGTTATGGTTGTAGTTATGGTGGTTGTAGTTATGGTTGTAGTTATGGTGGTAGTCATGGTGGTTGTAGTTATGGTGGTAGTCATGGTGGTTGTAGTTATGGTTGTAGTTATGGTGGTAGTCATGGTGGTTGTAGTTATGGTTGTAGTTATGGTGGTAGTAGTTGTAGTTATGGTTGTAGATATGGTGGTAGTCATGGTGGTTGTAGTTATGATTGTAGTTATGGTTGTAGTATGGTGGTTGTAGTTATGGTGTAGTTATGGTGGTAGTCATGGTGTGTTGTAGTTATGGTTGGTAGTTATGGTGGTAGTCATGGTGGTTGTAGTTATGGTTGTAGTTATGGTGGTAGTCATGGTGGTTGTAGTTATGGTGGTAGTCATGGTGGTAGTCATGGTGGTTGTAGTTATGGTTGTAGTTATGGTGGTAGTCATGGTGGTTGTAGTTATGATTGTAGTTATGGTGGTAGTCATGGTGGTTGTAGTTATGGTGGTAGTCATGGTGGTTGTAGTTATGTAGTTATGGTGGTAGTCATGGTGGTTGTAGTTATGGTTGTAGTTATGGTGGTAGTAGTTGTAGTTATGATTGTAGTTATGGTGGTAGTCATGGTGGTTGTAGTTATGGTTGTAGTTATGGTGGTAGTCATGGTGGTTGTAGTTATGATTGTAGTTATGGTGGCAGTCATGGTGGTTGTAGTTGTGGTTGTAGATATGGTGGTAGTAGTTGTAGTTAGGGTTGTGTCTATGGTTACGATGGTTGCTGTGTTTATGGCAGTTGTTGTGGTGCTTATGGTTATGTTGGTGGTTGTTGTTATTATGGTTATGGTGGTAGTTGTGGTGATTGTAGTTATGGTTATGTCAGCTGTAGTTATTGTTGTAGTTAGAGTGGTGTTTATGGTTACGATGGTGGTTGCTGTCATGGTTATGGTTGTAGTTGTGGTGGTTGTAGTTATGATTGTAGTTATGGTGGTAGTCATGGTGGTTGTAGTTATGATTGTAGTTATGGTGGTAGTCATGGTGGTTGTAGTTATGATTGTAGTTATGGTGGTAGTCATGGTGGTTGTAGTTATGGTTGTAGTTATGGTGGTAGTCATGGTGTCATGGTGGTTGTAGTTATGGTTGTATTGTAGTTGTTGTTATGGTGGCAGTCATGGTGGTTGTAGTTGTGGTTGTAGATATGGTGGTAGTAGTTGTAGTTAGGGTTGTGTCTATGGTTACGATGGTTGCTGTGTTTATGGCAGTTGTTGTGGTGCTTATGGTTATGTTGGTGGTTGTTGTTATTATGGTTATGGTGGTAGTTGTGGTGATTGTAGTTATGGTTATGTCAGCTGTAGTTATTGTTGTAGTTAGAGTGGTGTTTATGGTTACGATGGTGGTTGCTGTCATGGTTATGGTTGTAGTTGTGGTGGTTGTAGTTATGATTGTAGTTATGGTGGTAGTCATGGTGGTTGTAGTTATGGTGGTAGTCATGGTGGTTGTAGTTATGATTGTAGTTATGGTGGTAGTCATGGTGGTTGTAGTTATGTTGTGTTAGTGGTAGTCATGGTGGTTGTAGTTATGGTTTGTAGTTATGGTGGTAGTCATGGTGGTTGTAGTTATGATTGTAGTTATGGTGGCAGTCATGGTGGTTGTAGTTGTGGTTGTAGATATGGTGGTAGTAGTTGTAGTTAGGGTTGTGTCTATGGTTACGATGGTTGCTGTGTTTATGGCAGTTGTTGTGGTGCTTATGGTTATGATGGTGGTTGTTGTTATTATGGTTATGGTGGTAGTTGTGGTGATTGTAGTTATGGTTACGTCAGTTGTAGTTATTGTTGTAGTTAGAGTGGTGTTTATGGTTACGATGGTGGTTGCTGTCATGGTTATGGTTGTAGTTCTGGTTATAGTTATTGTTGTAGTTAGAGTGGTGTTTATGGTTACGATGGTTGCTGTGGTTATGGTAATTGTTGGTGTGATGCTTATGGTTATTATGGTGGTTGTTATCATTGTTGTTATCATTGTGGTTATGGTGGTAGTTATTGTGGTGGTTGTAGTGGTTACTGTTGTTCAGTGGTGGTAGTTGTGGTAGTTGTGGTTGTATGGGTAATTGTGGTGGTTTATGGAGCTGACCTGACAAGTACACTCAGTACAGTCATCCACGGTCCACTCGTCCTTGTTCTTGCGCACGATGCCGTTGTGGATGCAGACGCCGCTGTGGATCCCAATGCTGTTGTTGATCAGCCTGTTCTCATCGGTCTGGAGGATGAAGAACCACACTAATGTAAGCTAAGTGAGAAACTCTTGGTCCCCGTACGTTTAATATCAGGACAGGAATAGTGTGTCCTCGTATGGGGATTCACTTCCAAATACACAGTTTCAAGCCTCTCCCTTCTTACCAGTCTGCGCAGTTCATTGGAGAGCTCCTTCACCACCACGCCCAAGCCCTTCAGCTCCTTGAACATACTGATGAGGTCCTCACAGGAGAAGCCACACACCATCTGCAGGTCTACAGCACAAACAAGCACACTTCTGAAGAAAAATGCACATATATATTACACATATTAGATCATCTCATATTTACCTTTGGTCTTGTGACCGGTGAACTCTGTCCTAATGGCAGAAGATCCGTTGATGTTTTCCAAAAGCAAAGTGTCACTTGTTAGAGCTAAGAAGAAATAAAACATATAATCAAATGAATATTTTCTTAAAGATGCACTATGGAACTTTCTGGTGGTGTGTCCTCTATCTATAAAAAACACCTTGACATTAGGGGTGTAATGACTTGATATCGTCACGGTCTGAACCTCATGATACGATATTTATTGCGATATCGAGGGAAAGTTCACGATATGATGGGGTGACAATATGCAAATTTCTCAGTACGATATTTTCACGCCACGGTATGATTTTTTTTTTGCAATATTTTGTGAAGGCTGCGAATAAAACTGTGAATATGCTACTTTTTCCTCTTAAAATGCCTTGACAAGACTTAATCCAAAGAACTAAGATGTAAAAGTGCTTAGAACTGTTATTTCTTTTTGTAGTCTGCACTGAAATGGAGCAAAGGATCATGGTCTATGTAGTCTGCTGTTTTTTTTTAGCTATCGCTGCACCATAACTCTTAATTTAAGCAAAGAGACTTGCAATTCGATATATTGTGATGGTCCACGATATTATTGTGAGAACTTTGACGATATGATGGTTATTGTTGCATCCCTACTTGACATACATGTTTTCTTTGAGTAGAATCTACTCCGTACTTCACAACTTCACCTGCTTTTATCCATGGAGATATTTAAGTTTAACGTCTAACTTCTTATCTATCTTCATACCAGATGTCCTACTTGCACACATCTTTTTCCTTTATCTAAGCTTGGTACTAACACAGTATATCTGATATGAGACCCACTTAACTTATAAATCGTGGCAGAGTCTAGTAGTTCATTTACCATACTTTGAACTTCTTATCTATGTTTATACAGGATGCAGTACCTGCCCTCACCCTTCACAATAGACTGTTATATAGTTTAACTGGCTTGTACACTTATTTCTAGTAGTGTAATCATTAATAGTAAATATCAGGTTATCAAATATCTAATAAAAACATGAAGAGTATAGCTGGCACAGCACATTCCATCTGAAAGCGCAGCCCTTTGAGACAGTATCGCGCATTCCTCTGTCATAAGTATTACACAGTGTCTGAGGGAGTGTAATGGGAAAATTGTCTGTGTGTTTTTGATAAGCACTTGGATCAGACTTGCTGATATAAAAAAGATGTATTGAGATTCGGATTACTCACCGTTCTGGCAGCCTTTGTTGCGGAGAATGGCATCCAGAGTCGTGCCAAAGACAAAGCGTACATTTTGGAGGACCCCCTAGGATAAAAAACAAAAATAAAACAGATTTATGTGGTTTATTGTAATTTAAAGTGAGCTGGTCACGCCTGACATTTTTACAATAAAGGTTCATTGTGTAACTTTTCTGCTGATGTGTCTATCTATCTCCATGGAGACTAACAAGAGCACCACAAGGCCAGGTTACAGGTCCAATCTGTGGAGAGGTGGCCCCACTCACAGAGAAGACATGATTTTCAACTAGTTTGAGCAGTAAAAGCAGCTGTAATTGAATAAATGCCAAACAAACAAGTGTAATGCCATACTGTGGAACATTCCAGGTAATCTAGTAACATCTCTATGACGATAAGATACGTCTTCAGAAAAGTTACAGAGTGCACCTTTAGTTTATAAACTCTATGACTGAAGCTTGTACCAAACATGAATACAAATAAAAGTAATTTTGTCTAAAGCTGAAGTGCCAAATCTGCTTGTCTCCATGGAGATACCTTGAATGTTCCACAGTGTACAGTAGCATTACACTTGTACATTTGTATTCTATTTTTTATTTTTAATTATAATCCAAAAATGCAGTGAAAAGCATATCTCCAAGGACAGATACGTTTTTTTGCTATACATTCAGATAAAGCAGATAAACATCTCCATGGTGACGAGCGGTAGACTCTACATCAGAAAGGTTACACATTGCACCTTTAAGACACCCAATAACAGCTCAATCAAGTAATAATGAAGCTTTCGAAGATAGAATTGGTGAAAATAAATGAAGCTAAAGCATAAGTTGAGCCAGACTGTTCATAATGTTTCAATCCAATCCAATTTCCCTGCCAACTGACAACCACAACTTTCACTTTAACAAACTCCAAATGACACAAGAGTTAAGATTAGACTAATACAAACAAATGGAGTTGTGTTTTGTTTCGTTCACACACGTTTAACACATAAACACTGCATATTTATTAGGCTGAGTTCTTCTCTCAAATGGAAAACACTCAAACATGTGTGAATGAAACAAAACACGCCTCCTGGTATGTTTTTGAGGAGGTAACTCAAGTCAGTTTTGCATAATATAGGACCTTTTGTTTTCTTCACAAACTGACACTTACAGTAACTGATGTAAAACCAAATCGATACCAAAAAGTACATATTTCAAAGCTGACAGGTGACAAGGGACTCTCCACTCTGGGCTAGCTCCTGACCTGAAAAAGCACAAGTGGACTTTGTTTGTGTGGGAGAGAGGAGACAGTAAAGCATGTCTTAATGGAATGTGGCATCTATAAAGAAGAAAGAGGGTGCTTCTTCAAAAGGTTGACTGGACTTGGAATAACAAAATCTCATTAAAGACTCTCCTTGGTCCAGTCATGCATAAAAATGAAGTCACAGTGGCAGTTTTTGGATTTATTTACAACACCATATAACACCAATCTCCATCTTCCCTATTGCAGTGCCGAAAGAAACCTGTGAAAAGCAGAAATACATCTAGACGTGTCTTGTATTCTAAAACTACTGCCAAAAAAGAAGTGACAAGGTATCATTTTGGTACAAGATAGGGCAATATATTATCTAAATTACTGCAGCCTTTGCGATTCGATAACTGTGCCAACTCAACTTGCGATTTCGATTCAGTTTTGATTAATTATGCTACCCAAATTGAATATTTGTGACGTATCGTTTTTAAAAAGAGGGTATTACATGAAATCAACTTTTTTGAGTTTTCTACTGCATTATATCGTGATCAAAAACATGCTTGAAGTGTTGTTTTTTTTCTTGAAGAAGCATTATCCGTCTTATCTATCTCCATGGAGACGCACAAGAGCACCACCAGGCCAAGTTACAAGCCGGGTCTGTGGAGAGGTGGCGCTGCTTACAGTAAGAATACATGTTTTTCGGTGTAATTTGAGCAGTGGTTTGTGTTTTTTTTCTTTTCTAACAGCAGGTTTACACTAATTGCAGGTTGGGGTTTGGCACATATTCTGAGGGGGTTACTTTCAGATTGTTATGCCAACTATATCAACTGCAGTACGGATTTGAGCAAAGCAATGAGGTTTTACTTGGGTTCATGCAATAAAACATGTCTAATGATCTGAAAACTGCCCCAGACCACTGCGGTGTCCAGGGAAAATACACTTGTGGATTGTTTCTGTAGACCTGTGCCTCACCCAGACCCGCCCTCACTCAGACCCGGGCCCCACCCAGACCTGGACCTCACCCAGGCTCACCTCATGTAGTCCTGTGTCCGCCCTCACCCAGAACAGCGTCTCGTCCAGGCTTGTGCCTCACCCAGACCCACGCCTCACTTAGACCTGCCTCACCCAGATACGGATCTCAACAGGACCCGCCCTCACCCAGAACCACACCTCACCCAGACCTCACCCAGTCACCCAGATCCACCCTCACCCTTACTCACCAGACCCATCCTCACCCAGACCTCACCCTCACCCAGACCCACCTCACCCAGACCTCAGCCTCACCCAGACCACACCTCACCCAGACCCACCTCACCCCGACCCAGCCTCACCCAGCCACCACCAGATCCCACCTCCCAGACCCAGAACCTCACCCAGACCACCTTCACCCAGACCCAGACCCAGACCCCACCCAGACCTGCCTCACCCAAGACCCTCACCTCACCCAGACCCACGCCTCACCCAGACCAACCTCAGACCAGACCTCACCCAGACCCACGCCTCACCTAGAACCACACTCACCCAGACCTCACCCAAACCTGCCTCACTTCAGACCCATGTGAGTCCTGGACCAAACCAACAAAAGGTAACATTAATACCCCATAGAAGTGTAATACCCTCTAATTGCACTTACCATAAACCTGTCCTTCACTGCTCCCTTCCCGATCCTCAGCTGGGCGTGGTTGGGCGTGTCTTGGGTCAGGATGCTCTGAATGGGCGCGTCCAGTTCCGCTGTGTTCACGTCCACGCATCCTACGTACAACTGCGCCCTGTCCTCTTGTACAAACAGCGTAATGTTCTTCCAGTGCCCCGTGGCCAGATCCACATCCTCTATGGACACCACTTGCTGCTTGTTCTCTGTGGACAGAACTATGTCGAGGGTATTGGCTTTCCCGTTGGAGATGATCTCAAAAACTGGCCCGGATCCATCCTTTTTCTCCACGGTGATCAGGCTTCCTCTGGTGCGTTTGAATTGCTTGAAGTTGAGCAGGAACAGGAAGCCCCGGTCGGCGTGGATGGTGTCTATGAGGTCCCTAAAAGTAGGTTCGGGGACAGGAGGGATGAGGTCTGGGTTGAGGATTTTGTAGGCAGGGCTGTAAGGATCATCTCCCTTCACCAGAGTCACGCCGTGGTTCTTCTTGGGCACTTGGACCAGCTCGAAAAGGTCATACACGCTGTCGTTGTCGTCTCGGGTTTCTGGGGATTGAAGAGTGAAGTTAAAGGTGCACTATGGAACTTTTATGGTGGAGGGTCTGCTAAACCTTTCTATCTCTATCGTATATCTTTGAATCTGTATGTCTTGTATGTGATGGACCCACAATCTCATACTCAAAATTGCTTAAATTGTCTATCTAGTTCCGTGAAAAGACGCAGATGAAGCCACCAAGCCAAGTTACAAGTCAGATCTGTGGAAATGGGACCCTGCTCACAGTAAGAATTAATGTTTTTTGAGGTATTTTTTTGCAATAAAAGCACTTGTTATTGGAAAAAAAATGCAAGATAGACAAGTTTAATGCCATAATGGAACATTCCAGGCAAAATAATAACATCTTGTGGTGTCAAGCAGGTGGCAGACGCCCCATAAAAAAAAAAAAAAAAAAGGTAGTGCACCTTTAAAGGGGTCTTGGTCTTGATTTTGGACTTTCAGTTGTGTAATTTAGTTAAAAATTGTGTAGATCTAATTTATTCCAGGGGCATTAGTCTCAGTCTAGACCTGATTAAGTCCTGGTTCAGTCCCAACTAAGTCCGGGTCAAGTCCAGATTGAGTCCTGGTTTAGTCCTGAAATTAGTTCTTAGAGGGATCTTAGTGGAAAAGCTTTTAGAATCGCTGCACAATTGCTCTTGCACACAAAGTAATAAAGTAAACATAAATCATGGCATATTAACATAATTGATCCAATCTGTCTTTGAGTGTCTTTATTAAGATCTGCTTGGAATAAATGTCTATTCAACTTTCTGTGACATTTCGGTTGTATTTCTTTAGTGGGAAACAGATGGACGGATGTTTTACTGAAAAAAACTCCAAACATTTAGACCAAATGCAATAAAAAGCAGCCATCAACACTGAAATTAAAAGTGAAAAATGAAGAGAGGAAGTACTGAGAAACTAGAAGTGACGTGAATATGTAAGATTCTTTTATTAGGTAAAAGTTAGGTTAAGTATTAGTCCTTAAAGGTGTAATATGTAACTTTTTTTGTTAGTTCACCACCTGCATGTTTCTACAGGGATCTTAATTCTTTGCATGGAATGTTCCAGTATGGCATTAAGCTTATCTATCTCCATGGAGACGCCCCGAGACCAAGTTACATTTACTCTGGAGAGGCAACTCCATTCACAGTAACAATGTGTTGTTTTCAATGCACCACTGAGCAATAAAAAGGTCTGTAAATGAATAAATAGCTGAGTTCCAGAGAAAGTTATAACATTTCCTTGGAGGCAGGTGTGGTGGATCCGGAACCATAAAAATTACATAGTGCACCTTTAATAAAAAGAAAAAAGCATGCTGTGATCTGATACCCAAATTAAAAGCTGTTTAAGGAAAGAAAATGTAAAATAAGCAGCAGTATCAGAAGTCCCTTTGCCCTCAGTGGACACCCTGTTACTACAGCACTGCACAAGAGCGTCTTTTGGCTCCACATCTCCAAGTGATGCTCAGTTCTACTCACTGTTATAAATAATAAGCAAAATAGCAAATGCAATGCAAGATCAAAACTAAAATCCTCACAAAAATAAATGATTAACGTAGGAATAGACTCACCTGCGACTCTGGCACAGTCACAGGTCCAAAGCATCAAGAGCAAAAACACCACCAACAACTTCATTTTGATCTGCTGTCTGCAAAGTGGTAAATTCATACACCAAAAATTAGCCAAAATTTGCAAAAATATGAGTCTGAATATACATAATTAAAAACAAAACTTTTAGACTAAGAAAGCAATCACATCAGTATTAAAAATTATAGATTAAACTAATTTAAAAGTAGAAAATTAGCAGAAATTAACAAATACTGACGTGAAATAGATTGACTTTACGCACACTCACCTGCAACGCGAAACAGCAGACCAAAACTTAAATAAAAACAAATAAAATCCCCAAAACGTGATAGAAATCCAATAATAATCCTTTACATCGACACGTGAAGTGATTAGTCCCCAACGCGATACGGTCTTGGCTGCAAACCCGTGCGTCCTGCTACGTTGCCGCTAAAAACCTGCTCTTTTAAAGTCGTCGGGGGGACAAAGTGCTATTTAAATAGTTTGATGCCATTCCTAAGAAGTTGTTTCGTCCAATCCGCGCGCAGGAGGGAGGGGGACGGGCTAGAGGAGAGGGAGAGAGGGAAAGGAGAGAGAGGAGAGGTGGTGGAGGAGAGTTTGGCACGGTTGGCGCAGATCGTCTCCTCCGTGCTCGTGCGTGGAGACGTGTTAATGTGCGTCGTGAAGAAGTGTGTTTTGTTTTGTTTGTTTTTGTTGTTCCTCTGGGGGGGTCCATCATCCATCAGTGTCACCGTCCCCCACGATGTACCACACCGTTACGCACGATTTGACGTCGTATTATTCCGCCTCGTGCGCAGGTGTTCACAGGGAATGCGTCGTAAAATAGTCCAGTTGAAATTTAATCCACGTTATTGTTATTATATTGGCTGTTCATACTAAAGGCGCACTGTGTAACTTTTCTAGTGGAGGGCACGTCACCTGCTTGTTACGACTATAGGTGCAGTCGCCTCGTCACAGATCTGACCTGTAACTTGGCCTCACTGAGTATCGATAAATTGAATGCGATACTGTGGAACATTAATAGTCACTCCACACTACTACTACTACTACTACTACTACTACTACTACTACTACTACTCTACTACTACTACTAGTGCAACTACTATTACCACCACCTCTCCTTCTACTACTACTACTACTACTACTACTACCACTACTACTACTACTACTACTACCTACTACTACTACTACTATTACTACCACTTCTACTACTACTATTAATACTACTACCTCTCCTCTTCCTACTACTACTGCAACTACTAATACTACCTCTCTTACTACTACCACCACTACTACTACTATTACTACCTCTCCTGCTACTACTACTACTGCTACTACTACTACTACCTCTCCTACTACCACTACTGCTGCTACTATTACTACTACCTCTCCTGCTACTACTACTACTGCAACTACTAATACTACCTCTCCTACTACTATTACTACTACTACTGCTACTACTACTACTACTACTACTACTACTACTACTACTACTACTACTACTACTACTACTACTATTACTACTGCTTCTACTACCACCTCTCCTCCTCCTCCTACAGACCCGACCTGTAATTTGGCCTCACTGCTTGCTTCCAGTATCGATAAACTGAGTGAGATACTGTGGGACATTCATGAATGTGCAATGACATCTCCATGGAGACCTTCCATCAAAAAGTTACATAGTTTATTAAATTATGTCCAACTTGAACTACAAAAATGAACTGGATAGTTTTTTGGTCACATTTTCAGGAGTGGAATTGGTGGAGTTTTTTTTTTTTTTTTTCTGTAGTGGATGCTGATGCAGAGCTGTCACCTGCAATACCCTCCTCAGCCGCTAGGGGCCCGCGTGATCCACAGGAACAGCAGGGCCAGAGCTTTGGCAAGTGCAAACAAGGAGATCTGTACAGTTTGTGAATGGAAGAACAGCTTATATTATGGCATATTTTTACTTCTACTACCACTACTACTACTACGACTACTACTACTGCTACTACTACTACTACTACTACTACTACTACTACTACTACTACTACTACTACTACTACTACTACTACTACTACTACTACTACTACTACTACTACTACTACTACTACTACTACTACTACTACTACTACTACTACTACTACTACTACTACTACTACTACTACGACTACTACTGCTACTACAACTACTGCTACTACTACTACTACTACTACTACTACTCTCCTCCTCCTCCTACTACTACTACTACTGCTACTACTTCTAGTACTTCTCCTCCTCTCCTTACTACTGCTACTACTACTACTACCTCTCCTCCTTCTCCTCCTACTACCACTGCTACTACTACTACTTCTCCTCCTACTACTACCACCCTCCTCCTCCTCCTACTAATACTACTACTACTAATAGTAATGCTACTATTACTACTACTACTACTACCTCTCCTCCTTCTCCTCCTACTACTACTGCTACTACTACTACCTCTTCTCCTACTACTATTGCTATTACTACTACTAGTACTAATGCTACTATTACAACTACTACTACTACTACCTCTCCTCCTTCTACTGCTACTACTACTTCCTCTCCTACTGCTACTACTACTACTACTACCTCTCCTCCTCCTTCTCCTCCTCCCCCCTCCGCTGCTGCTACTACTACTACTACTACTACCTCCCCTCCTCCTCCTTCCTCCTCCTCCTCCTCCTCCTCCTCCTCCTCCTCCTCCTCCTCCTCCTCCTCCTACTACTACTACTACCTCTTCTCCTACTACTACTACTACTACTACTACTACTACTACTATTATTGTAAGATATCCTTTTCTCACCTTCTGAAATCTTCATTTGTCAAAGTGTAATCTAAACTCAGTCCCCGTCATCACAGTTGTGGATGCTGGATATTTTTTCTGACCTGATCAAAAGCAGCAGCATTACAGTTTAGTTTCCATATATGCTTCTGTTTATGTCACTAAATTAAAAGTGTGTCAACTAAGGATGCACCGATCTCATACTGTTATCGGATTCTGGTTGGACATATGGATTAATGTAATAAAACTGTTTCCTGGTTGTAGTTGGCCAAAGTCAGTTTCAATTGTTCTATAAGAGCTTCAAAACACATTTGGATCATTTTGGTCTTAATAAATGTTGTTCTCAGTCCCTGCACTGATATTGGTTTATATCGGGTATTGGCAGATACTCAAAGGTCCTATATTATGTTATTTTTCTAATCTACGTTACATTGTTGTTTCTTCATCAAAACCGTACCTGGAGCTGTTTTCCATTTCCATTTATCACACGTTTAACGCACAAATCCTGCATGTTTAGGCTGATTTCTTCTCTCAAACAAAAAACACTCTGTTCCCCTTTAATCAAACATGTGTGAATGAAACAAAACACAACTCTAGGTTTGTTTTTGATGAGGTAACAACATTATAACATGGCTTAAAGCTCACAAGAGTCAATTTTGCATCAGCATCAGAAGTAAAAAAGCTGGATCAGTGCATCCCTGGTGTTAAAAAATAAGGCAGTAGTATTTTATGTGTGTTAAATAAGACATATTGTGCTTTTGTCTGCTCTGTAGTTATAATCTTTGACACACCACAGAGGATTATTTTATATTATGGACATTAAACAACTAAATAAAAAGAAACAAGCCCACTGACATCCATCTAAAACAATTGCGGTGCTGAATATGACAACAAAGTGCCATTTATTGCCAAAAAAATAAATAAAAAATCTGATCAAAGTAAGTACGGCGTAGTGGGCGTGTATGAGGGGAGGGAGGAATGGGAATTTTGTGAGCAAAAGCAGCATTACTCAAACATGCGTGAATAACTCTAAATACAACTTGAAGTGGGTAAATAAGAAGGGAAACAATTATAATGGTTAGCAGCTCTTGAAGTTGATTTTTGCAAATATGTCTCATTTAATTCTACATCTGGACTCAAGAATGCCGTCTGCCTTTGATCGGATTAACAATCATTTGACTAAAGTGTTGCATAAAACAGCCTGGAATTGTCTTAATCCTCAGAATAGTTTAATCTTTCTTCACTCACTGTAGTTTAAACACAGTAAAACATCTGAGCCAGAGTCTATGAAGTCTGCAGGGTTTGCTTCTGATTGAGCGAGGAACCAAAACACAGATGTAAAGAGTTCAAAATAAGAAAAAGGAAGGCCATGTGTGACAATAAATACTTTTATTATCGGCAAATACAAAGGAGCAAATAAAGCGCCCATGAAAGTAAAGTGAATGGGGTATTTTTATGAGTTGTGTACAAAGTAGTTGATGGTTTACTGCTAATGAAAGCAATGAATTAGAGGTGCACTGTGTAACTTTTTTGTTGGATGTTCGGCCACCTGTTTCCATGGAGATATAACTGGTTTACCACAGTATGGTTTTTTTTGTCAACTCCGTGGAGACAAGCAGGTGACCCCACCAGGCCAAGTTGTAAGTCAAGTCTATGGAGAGGCAAGTCTCCTAAAGAAAGAAACAGAAAGAAAGCGTGTTTTTGAAGGTACTTTAAGAAGAAGTTTAATAAAGTTGGTAAATTGGTACAGTAATTATCCTCTGATCTGAAGGCTGAAGTCAAATCTTTGTCAAATCTTTGTCAGGTCAATACTGTCACTGTGTCTTTGGGCAAGACACTTAACCCACCTCGTCCCAAGTGTCTATTTAACTGTTTGTGTTCTTTCTATATGCGCTGGTAGCCTGGGTTCACTTGCGATTATTTTGCTAATGGATTAATCTAGCAATTTACTTAGCAAAAACTTATTCAGAATTAATTTTACCATTTATATTTTTGCTCTTTGTTATTATATTTATTGTGATGTGTGAGCTACTGTGTCCAAATAATTGCCCTTGTGCATCAATAAAGTTTGTCTAAGAGTTTTCTTTATTATTCTATATCTATATAATTATTTGCATTAACATGAGATTTTTTCCTAAACTGTACCCAGATAAAGCTGAACTGAAGCTGCTAGTGGACATCCTGGTGGAACATATTTAATGGTAAATGGTCCCATTTTTCTGTATTGCTTTTTCCACTTTAAAGGCACTCAAAGCCAAGCCTGATTCATCAGCCGGTTTCACTTCGTGGAAACTGTCTGACCTCGCAGCATTAGGATTTATTCGCTCGATGAGAAGCGGGTACTTTTTTATTTAACCAATCACTGCTGTTTGGTCGTGATGTATGTAATGCGACAAATCCTGTAGGAAGAAGAGCAATAACATCTTTCCCCTTGATAAAATTCACCAAACATTCTCTTTGTTGCGGCTTTAAATTCTCGATCTCGGGAATCGTTGCCAACACAGAATGTCTGTCTTCGTCTACATCCATCTCAACGCTTTGTTTACTGTTGTGCTGTTCCACAAAAGGGACCC